ATACAGTCATTCAAGAAGTATGAAGCTATACTAAATTAGGCTTAACTTGGCCGTTAAGGTACTGGGGTAAGACCGTGTCGTTAGGCTGAGGTCCCATATAAGCGGGGTTACTTACAGATCTGAGCCCCACCATCCTACCATCCCACCATCTGGACTGCCTGGTACCCCTCAGCAGCGGGGTTCCCCTGAAGGTCCCCCCAAATCGTTGAATCTGGCTGCGACTGCAAGTCTTCTTAGGGCATCCAGGTCCCTAACCTGGATTTCAGCCTCATCTATTTCGGCCTGTGGTAGCGACATAATGCATATGACACATGTGCAGCATTATAATTATGAATGCTGCTGCTGCTGCACGTCTACCTGTAACATCGAACTAAGGCAATACAACGCGCAACCAAGGTACGTAGGTACTTGGCAATTAACTTCTTTTATTCCGTCTAAGCTTATCAACTCTTGACCTTCTTCTTTTCCACCTTCATTTCCAACCTCCCGGATCATCTTTTGTTTGTCTACGCCACTTCCCCCCCCTACGCGTCTACAATCGTGATTCTGCGGATTATCTTTTCGAGTACGACATGAGCCCTTGAGGTGTCTAACGCCTCGTCATCCACCCCTCGTTTATTGGCTGGGATATGAACCATCTAGATTATCTGGATCTCTTTCTTACTTTGCCAACGTTGATTTCCTCTCCTGTAATACCCGAACCGGGTCCGTCAATTTAGAGCGGCCTCATTAAACTAGGGACAATATCATTTCGGGACGTCGCCTTTACTACCGTCGCTCTTAATCAAATCCTCTTCTTAGCCGATAATCACCCACCCGACGCCAGTCCAAACCCATCAATTCCATCTTAATCACCCTCGTTCAACAATATGTCGTCTTCATCATCCCCCGTCCGCCTGGCTATGCCGGTTGATCTGCAGCGTTTTACTTGTTTTGCCAAATTCCCGTTTGACATCCGCCATCAGATTTGGGAAGAGATTATCTATACTCCCGGTATCCATTTTCTAAAGTTCGAGGAGAATGACGATGCCCCAGAGCCTAACGATTTTAACTCTCTGGGTCCCCAGTACGCACATAAGATGGGAGGGGATGTCAAGAAGTCCAAATTCACTAGCACTCTCAAACCCGTATTCCCCTTCCCAGCAGCCGACAAGTCGTACTATCTTACCATGAACAAGACTTTCACCCAGCTATCACTGGCTTGCAACGAGGCGAGGAAGCTAGTTGAAAACCTAATCGAACGTCAAGGCAACCTAACTCTCGACAGCGGCCGTCTTGTCCACTTGGCGGGATCTTCAGATATTGTGTGCTTCGACTATCCTGGTGCCACCTGGTCTCGCTCTTTAGGCCTCTGGGCTGAGCGTTTAGATCAAAATCAACTAGCTAAAATTCGCCGCGTGGCTATCCGTTATAGCACGAAGTGGGATGACGAATGCCGTGTTTGTCGTACTTGTGGTATCATACACACCTATCACCGCGATCACGGCAATATGCGTCCGCGACATGCATACGAGTTCGCTGCCATGTTCAAGAATCTCGAGTCTTTCTACTTCATGGACTGCCTAGCGGTTCGAAAGCAGCGCGACAAGTCTAAGCCGACTTCGTGCATCTTCGCAAAGCGAGGTACGTAAATCGCAAGTCACAATTACTCTCTGCTCGCAACTGACAACAGAATAAGCATATGGGGACAAGGGCGAGAGCTTTGCTAGCGGGGAGGGAGGACGCACATACTACGAAGTTGACCCTCAACTCTGCAAGGTTAACACTCACGTCTTCCGCACCCTCTCGTGGGTTCGCGAGAACTACATCACCTACTGTCAGAAGTATTCTAAAGGCTCGGTGGACCCGGAGAAGGTCAAATTCAAGGTCTTGACCTGCGAATGGGACACCGACGAGCTAGTCCCTGCGAAGCAGCAAGAGCCAATCTCGGGTCGAGTCGCCTCGGCCTATAAACGTCAGAAGACGCGAGGTTTCAGCCTTACGGATAGCTTCAGGAAGATGAGCATCGGTGACACACCCACCCCTGGCGCCAAGTTGTACAGCGGCCTTCCTGTAGTCTTCGGCGACGGTGGCAAGTCGAAGTTTGAGTTCACTATGGAGATACCCTTTCCGACGCTACACGCGTAGCACATTTGGTACTGCTTATATCCTTATTTCTTCTCGGACGGATCCTAGGCAATAAAACATTCACAGCATGGCGTACCGGATCCTAAAGAATACCTTTATTTTCTTTGTTCGTTCCTCTTCATTTCCAGGTGTTGATACCCAATCGTTGCAGGCGTTATCGGTCACAACCAGGGTCTCCGGAAGCGATAGTTCTTCTCACAAAATATGTTACGAATCATAAAAACGGCACGGAATAATCAGTCTACAGATTTCGGTAGCTTCGATCCCCTGAGCTCTCGCATCGCAAAGAGTGGCCAAGTCTTTAGTGCTTGCTTCTTTTTTGTGCTAGGTAGACAGATACCCTATAATACAAACTTTCGGGTCATGATAGGATCTGTGATATGCTCTTGCAAAGATCAAGTACACGTTGTTGGTAGTTAATTGATAATACCCCTATATTGTTATGCTTAGTACTTACACACTACTATCCTATTTCAATACACATGCGTTTGCGTCGTTAGAATCCAAGTATGCTGGAGAATACATAGTGAGAGTAAGATGTTGCGTATATTACTAGCTTATATCCAAGATAATTATAATAAGGGGGTAGTTATGTCTATCTTATATGTAATTCTTACAAGATAGCACATATCGTATGATATATCGTTTATAGGGGAACTGGTGAGAGGATAGAAATTCAGAAAATCCGTAGGTCGTGTATCGATTATTTAGTTCATAATAATTATACCTATCACTTCGTATTTCTGTAGTGCAGTATCCCAGTTAGTTATACGTGAGGTACGGATAATACTTTGAATAGGTGTGTGGTGAATACTAAAACGTGTACGGCCTATCGAGATACTTGGACGATTTATATCCGGCAAAGGATATACGCCGCGTTTAAGCCTCCGGGGTGCTGGTAGTTTTCGCTAGCACGTGGTAATCGATTGAATTTCCTGGGAAAGAGCTTGAGTCCATACGCATTGGTCTTCGTAAACTTCTCTGTAAATTGCTGCTTATAAGACATATTCATCATGTTCATTTTGTACAGAAAGCTGCTCTCCCTAATGTAGCTGACACACCATAGAGGCATATCTTTTACTATTTTACAACACGTAAGAGCCTAAATTCCCGACTCCTGTACCGAATGCAGCCTGGCTTTCTCAACCATATCCTTCAACCCCCGGACCCGTTCGTTCCCCCCCTCGCTAGTCTGTCCACCAAGCTCTTTCTGGAGCATATCGAAATGGCGGGCATGGGATATCAAACCCGAAGCCCCCTGTTGCCTCTGCTCCGGCAATATGCCTAGTCCCCGGTCGATGTTGTCGAGAAAATATAGCACCGCTTGGCAATAGAACATGCTCGTTAGACGCCCGCTGAACATGTAGAAGGCGCCCAACTGGACGCCCTTGCTGGGATCGGAGAGGGTAAGGGGGTATCGGTCGATGCCGATGGCCCGCCGGTGTGCGTGGAAGAACATGACTTCCCAGAGGTTGATCATTTGTACGTAGCAGCTTACGAGTACGCAGACGAACGGAGATGACAATAACACATCTTGCTCGGCCAGTGTATCTCCAAATATGGTTTGGCAACTACCCTCCCGACCGAGAGGCCCTAATAAGGGCTCTTCAACGTAAGGCGAAGAAGAATCGGTTGCCATCCCATCGTCAGCAACGACATGTCCACGTTGGTGTAACGGCTTAGGCTCGTGCTTAACAACCCAGATGAGATTCGTAATAGCCTGCTGGAATCTCTGCGCCATAATAAGCAGCTTCTCAGCAAGCGACACTCCATCACCGACCGGCGGAGGCGGATGGTCGCAGAACGTGACGAAGTTTACCCTCCCGCTTTCGTCTAATTCTTGGAGGGCTCGCCAGTGAGCATGCAGGTCGATGTTAAGCTGGGAGAGCTCTTTGAGGCATTCGTGCCGATCTAGCTTCGCCGTAAAGAGGCTGTGTACCTCTAGGGGGTCCCTGGTCGCGGAACATCCGGAGTTAAAGCGGATGGTCTCATCCCATTCAGGGGTTCTGTGCTCGGAAAGCGGTAGCATTGGATTTAAGTCGAAGTCGTTTACATCGCTATGCGGTAGCGATGGCGTCTCGTTGAATAAACTGTTGGCTTGGGGAAGGTTATCAAGTCCTGGTAGTAGATTATCTGGACTCTGGCCTGCCGGTATGCTACTCCGGGCTCCTGGGGTATTATGACTTTCGCATCTCAATAGTCGAACAGGAGATACACTCGATTCGGCTGCTGAGCGGCTTATTGTAGTTTGTGATGAGACCACTTTTCGCGGGCGTCCTGGTGGCTTGGCCGGCGCGACTGAACAGCATAGATCAAGCCGTAAGCAACGTGTGCATTTCTCCTGGTTCTCATCGCGCAAACACCTCAGCTTCGAGTGTCGGCACCTAGTAGATTAAATGTGAGTTTATATGAGATATGGTCATATTTCGGAAATTATAGGGATATACCGGTCACAGGCGGTACGCCGTAGGCTCGATCTGGGATGGGGGGTTGTCGCCATCTCATGATATTTTATAGGGTCTTGCAATTGAGGATCTCGAAGGGAACTGCGCGAAACTTATTGATTCCATTGAATGCTTAACAATAGAGTTACAGTTACGGCTTGGTTATAAGTTAATTGGAAATCAAACGAGAATGTTACATAATCTGATCTCATTACCGCGGACTCGACAATTCGAATCCCATTCCGCACGGACGTCTCCTTTCTGTTCTAATAGGTAGCCGGTACGAATAACATCACGAAGGTATATAGAACCCTTATTAGCCCTAAGATTTATGTATGCTTATGCAGTATTAGCTGTGGCATACCCCTAGGCTTCTAATTTTTCCCGTCCATTAAATAAGAGGAATATAAAAATTTCATAAAATTAACTATCTCGGTATTCAATCCAAATTGATTATTATTCAGTGGTCTCTCGCTCTTCGAGACCAAACTCAGTCTTCAACTCTGTTCTCAACTTGATTTCCTTTTCAAAGATAACCGAGAGAAAGACAAACCCTGAGAGCGGCACTCCAATCAGGAACACCTTCTGAAGGGACAGCGTGAAGACAGTCCTGATTTGCTGCCTCACAGGTTCCTCGAACGATTCCACGGATGCCTTTGTCGCGCTTGCATACGAGTTACCCGACATCAACAGCGCTCTGGCTCTAGGGTCTTCGACCATTGGCGCGTACGATGCGGTAAAGCTGTTGAAGATGGCCGCCGCGATTGCCACGCCCCATACATTACCGAAGCTTCGGATAAAATTCCAGCTTGCCGTAGCAGCCGCCTGGTCCGCTTCTTTGAGCGAGGCTTGAAAAGCAGGGAGTAACGTATTCGTGAGCATGCTAGTCCCCAGTGCCGTTACTATGTTGATCCAGATCCAAGCCGCCGTGCTAGTGTTTTGGTCCATGATGCTGAGGAGGCCGATCCCAAGGGTGAACATAGCAGAGCCGATAATATGAATAATCTTATATCTACCCCATCTAGACAGCATCAGTAGTGCAATAGCAGCCCCTGGTATCCCCACGAGACTGTATACTAGCAATTCCACGCCAGACTGCGACGGCGAGGATAATCGAACGCCTTGGAAGTAGAGCGGAATGAAAAAGAACTGCCAGTAATTCTCAGCCGAGTTCAAAAAGGAGATAACATATACGATGACAGCAGTACGGTTGCTAAATAACCGAAGAGGCATGACTGGCTCGGCTACGAAGGGCAAGCCTTCAAAAACCACGAACAGCACAAGGCCGCCAACCCCAACCATCAGGGATACCAGGATGTGCCATGACTTCCAAGGATATAACACGTCCGCCCAGGTCAGAGCGATCAGAATAGACACCGTAGATGCAATTAGGATTCCGTTGCCGATATAGTCGATTTGCCGCATCTTCTCGTAGGCTGTCGTAGACCTATCCCATTTGACGCGGAGGAATAAAAATAGGAGTATGAATGCCAAACCGCCAATAGGCAAGTTTATATAAAACACCCATCTCCACGATGTGTTTTCGACGATAACACCGCCTAGGAATGGCCCTAGAGTCGTCCCGATGCCGTATATGGCTATGATTATTGCGATGAAATTGCCGCGCTGCCTTAATGGGACGAGATCTGATACGATGACATCGATGATCATGTTAATAGCTAATTAGCACCAGTTAGATTCACATGCATCCATCGGCAAGCGAATTAGCTTGAACGTACCGCCTGAGCCCATGCCCTGGATTGCTCTTCCGGATATTAACATAGCTGAGTTTCTCGCACCACCGCATATTCCGCTGCCTATGATATAGACAGCGACAATAGACAGAGCTAAGTGACGTCGCCCGAAGAGGTTGGATAATTGCCCACATAGAGGCTGGGTAGCCGCGCTTGTCCCGTCACTTCGGTTAGTTACTCGGAGTCAGATCGGCTCGTCTTGAGATCTTCTTACCTAGTTAAGAAGAAGACATTGCTAATCCACACGTAATCCTGGCCTATATTAAGCTTCTCGACGATCGTAGGTAGGGCAGTGACGACGACAGTATTCTCAGCAGCAGAGAGCAAAGAGACCGTACAGAGCGCGATAATGATGGCCCAGAACCGAAAGCCTCTTTGCGGCTTCTCATCAAAGGCGTCGGTGTCGTTGGGATTCCGCACACCAGCGCCGCTATTTAAGATATCTGGAGAGGGTGTCTCTCGATTCAAGTCGGCCGATGCGACCGGGTCGGTTTGCATTCTGATTTAGGGGGCTTCCAACCGTCCCGCTGTCGGTGATATCCATCTCTGCGACTACAGCGGATAGTTGCCACGATGTCTTTTAAAGAATGAGATACGGAGGGATGTTCAGAGGAAGAAAATATTCAGCGCTTCTGAATCGGAAGGTTTGGATACTCATCGGAGCGGTCGAGGCTCCGTTCGGAAGGTTTCGTAAATGATGGCCGGTCGTATCGGAAGGTTTTCTATGTCAGATCACCGCATCCCGGACAAGTTGGTCGGCCGTATTAGGGGTAGCCAGCCAATAAGAAATGTGAAGCATAGTTATTTCACGCCTTGATAATCTCTAAGTCGGAATCTTTCCATCGGTTAGGGGTTGGTCTTATCGATGTCATACTGGGACATACGACAATCCTTCCGAGCATACTTATTACATTGGATATACTCAAACGCTCTTATATCGCTCACGTCTTTGCGATAGAGAACTGTTTATTCTGTAGAGTTATGTGCACATAATACTCTACCGCATCACGATATGACATTTGGATATTACATAAGAGGTAAATAAGTTGGATAGTTCGTGCGCAAGCATCGAATGATACTCGCTCTACACGTTTGTCATATCCGTTACTCTATATGAATAATCGGTACTCGACAAGAATAACTTGAACTGTACTCATGGCAGTCAAAACGAACTACCGATGAGAGACCCCTTTCTCAGGATTTATAAAAGCTTACCGCTGTGACATCCTTTGAGCATGATCGCATGAGCTTGGGGTAGAATTATATTTGAGGCTCGAGCTCATTTCATAGAGGCCGAATATAGGTGCATACGGTGCATACGCTAGATTCGGGGTCACGATGTTCCATACAGATGAGCATTCTCTCCACTTAGCCGGTGATATTTGCCGACGGCATTGCCGTATATTTTAGGTTCGCCTTCTGAGGCTCTGCCGATGTGGTGTCCTGTCGCTATGTATGCACGCATACTTGGCAAACTTCGAGAATGTTTCGTCGCTTGTCTTAACAACCGGTTGTTGCTAATTCATTAATTGTGTCATGAACTGAGATTGTGATTGAAGAAGAATTGAAGAATTTAGACTCGGGATTAAATTTAAATTCCAGAGATAAGTGCGAATACCGAAATACCTAAGTTTTCGATTACTGCATAAGCTATCTTGTAAGTATGAATAATTCCATTATGGAGGGTCTTGAGGTGATATTATTCTTATTATTGCATACGCGAGCTAACAGACAACATCTCCTATTAGACGCCATGGCCAATCCCGGAATGCTCTACGTTACTATGCAGCCCAAGCCAGGGCTGCCGATACACCAGTTTCATGAATGGTACAACAATGAGCATGGCCCGACGAGGCTCAGACTACCCCAGATCTTCTCGAACGGCCTCCGTTATCGGGCGGCAGACGGAAAGGAGCCTGAGTTTCTAGCCGTCTACGACGTCGTGTCTATGCCGCTCTTGGAGACGGATACTTACACGTCTCTACGCGCAAATAGATCGCCTAGAGAAGCTGAAACTATTGGCCAGGTAGATGTGAAGAGGTACTTCTGGGATCTCGTCTCTGCAACCGAGTCTCCGCTCTTCATCCCAATCGAGCAGCTAACAGATGACGAGGCCGAGGGCATACTCCTACTCTCATTGGAGTTCAAGCTTAGCGGCACGGCAGATGCTGAGATAGAAACTAGTATGTGGCTTAAGGAGCACGTATCTTTGATATCAAAGTTAGCCGGCTGGCTACGATCGCGGGTGCTCAGGACGTCTAGCTTAGAGTCTGGCTCGCCAATCTCCTTCATTGCGCTACATGAGTTCTCCAAGGCGGAGCTCGCAACAGCAACTCGTCTGCTTACGTCATCCCCTCTCGGGTGGAATAAGACTCAAGAAAAGTATGCAAAAGTGAACTCTCAACGGCTGTATGAGCTCTTCTACGTCTTCGGGCCGGCGTCGCGTGACCTATACAATTTATCGCGTCTCGAGCCCTCGACGCCCGACTTCACATCCCCAGACCATAGGACTATCACTTCAGCTGCCACTTCAACAATCCTCTCGTACGTGACGACTCCCGATGGTCTCGGGATCCCTTACATGCTCGAAGGCAACCCGGACCCCAAGGCACCGGTCATTGCTTTCTGCAACTCGCTGCTTACCTCACTTCACATGTGGGATCCTTTCGTCAAGATCCTGAAAGCGCAGAGACCACAGTATCGCATTCTACGCTATGACTTTCGCGGCCGGCACAACATACCCCCCCCCCCTGTCCCCGCAACCTTAGACATGCTGGCAGACGATCTAAGTAGTGTCCTAACTGCGTTGCGAATCCCCAAGCTGGACACCTTGATTGGCGTATCTATGGGCGGGGCCACGACGTTGCGGTTCGCGCTCAAGTATCCAGATAAGTTGGGGCGGTTCATCGCGTGCGATTTCAACGTAGCGTCTAGCCCCGCGAACACGGACGCGTGGAAGCAACGTATCGCTATCGCCGAGGCGCCTCTCGAGGATGGTGCTCCCGGCATCCAAAAACTGGCAAAGCAGACCGTTGAGCGCTGGTTCCACCCCGCTACGATGGAGAAGCAAGAAACCGTGCGCTGGGTAGAGGATATGGTTGCCAAGAACGATCTCGAGGGCTTTAGGTACGGGTGTCAGGCGCTCTGGGACTACGATATGAAAGCCCAGATGAAAGAGTGCCAGGTCCGGGCACTGCTAGTCGTTGGGGAGGGCGACGGAAAGGGGGCGCTGGTCAAAGCTATGGACGGCTTCAAGGGCCTTCTCGGAAATAATGGTGCTGAGCTGGCCGTCGTACCGGAGGCGGGCCATCTTCCCATGTGTGAGAATCCAGAAGCTTTTTGGAAGGCTGTGGAGGGGTTCTTGTGAGGATCTAGACTACTCTATAGCTATTTTGGTAATTGGTTTGTAACACAACGCCAAGCTAGCTTTCTGACTTGAGGGTATAGCTCCACGTCTGTCTAGTGGACTGTCAGCTGTTGCGGCAGCTATGAATAGCTCTTAATCTAAATAGACCTATTGGACCTATGATATCGAAAGATATTCCTTATCATGGGATGAGCTGACCGTACGTATCTACATAAAAGGGGCGTCAGTATCTAAGTGACTAATTGGTGCCACGAAAGATGGTGTAAAAATAGCAACTCCTAAGAGCTATCTTGGAATAGAATACGTCTTTCTCTGTAGGTGCTCTTGTTTGCATCTCTAGACTAGTCCTCGCTTCTAGATATCTATACAAAATTCTACTGGCTAATGTTTGACGCATACTTGAGATAATATCACAATACTGAAGTTCATATCTTCTAATTGTAAGTGTAAATATAGAGGATCAGATAGCCGAGAACGGGACATATACCACATATAAGATATAGAGCAAGTTATTTGACCAAAGTGAACATATAAGTCCACGAATAGCATATTCTATTGTACTCGCTTAGTTAGTAGTTATAGCTATGAAAGCCCGTACATATCTCGCAGGATTTAGAATATTATAGCTCAAGACTATAGCAAGATGTGAAATCTGCACATCGTCTTATCTTCTCATGTCCTTTTTGCAACTAGGCTACGGTAATATAGGCCGAGTATTATAGGAAACTACTTAGATGTCGTAGTTTACCTAGTATGCCCCATCACAGAACCATCTCGACCATTTCCCCTGGAGTGTAATGTGACGTCGTCCGAATTGTTACAACTTGAGACTCCCTAGACGAGTCCAGTGGAATTATCATCTGGGATATTTGTTGGAATTAGGTAGCATGTGGATATCTTTAGAGCTCTAGTCTTCATTACCCTACCGATGCTTAGAATAGCAAGGTAGTATAAGCTCAGCTGAAAGTGCTAAGCGAGAGGTTTGATATCTGGCTACCTTTATGTGGATATCCCGTTACGAACTTACATTGGTGGAATTACTCCTGGACATACAGATCCACGATAGCTTCACGAAGAGAATTTCTCAGCCGTGAATCATCAACAATTACGACTAGCTTCTTACGAGTAGACAAAGCGAAGATTGAAGAGAGACGTTAGCGGGCACGTGAAAGAGGTAGGAAAGGTGTTCCGAAAATATATCAAGATCTCCGGGGACCTGACCCCCACCTTGGCGAGGAGTGCTCACGCCGCCGGCACGACGGAAGGAGGTCAATTGGGGGCGTTGCCGCATACGGATAGCTTCGCGATGACGCAAGCAATGCGGAATCGCCAGTCGGAAAGCGACTGAATATTAAAGGATCTATGCAACTCGTCCCGGCAGCCGTTAGGGTTGCGTTCTATATGTACGAGCCTGTGTGGAAATTGATGCCTGGTGAGCTGATCGAAACCCCCACGCCGTTCATCCCGAATAACGCCGTCTCAAGTCTCCTCTCACCTTTTCTTCTTATCCATACTTCTCTTGCGGCTTCTTGTGGGATATCCAGGCTCCCGGTCTGGTAGTATACATAGACTGCAGACTTGCAGCCGCCTGGGAGTGGCACACCCTGTCATTGATATATATGCAGCATCTGGAAGTAGTTCGCTTGGGCTGCAGTGCGTCAGACTTCCCGTGGGATGGCTGAGACTAATTACGATCATACGGAACTGATAGTAGTGTTGCTTTAAGTTTGAACGGATATATTACAAGTTGTACTGGTGGAATTAAGTATAGCTTATCTCCTCGCAAGTCGTACGGTTCGCGTCTTAGATCGGCATAACAGCGTGATGAACATCATTCCGCTTGAAATGTATATACGCTTAAATGCGCCATGATCATAATAGCATTACAAATACGTGAACTAATAAACATGGTGTCGGCTTTTCGTTGTCTCATGGCTAAACATACGTGCCGTCTGGCGAGAGGGATCAGGGGTACAAGCGTACTGCAATCAACCCTCAATAGACTGTTTGTAAGCCAGCGATATTCTTACCAAGCTGTAATCGAATGACTTGGAGATATTAAGGGGAGCTAGAAGCGACGACTGCATGAACCTTTTTTACCAATTCGATGTTCTACGAGAACTTCTAGAATGTTGCCTCGCCTCGTGTCTTGGCTGTATACTACTACGGACAAGATCTCTCGGCGTTACTATAACTGCAGGTAACTCTGAGTACCTAGTTATTCGGGTTATCAACACTAAAAAGGTCTGTATACGGAGAAGTGCAAACTTCGTAACGTTACCCGCGACCCAGCAAGTCGGAAGCCCTGGCAGAGTCCCTGGCAGAGTTGCCCTGCTTTCCGCCGCTTAGGCTACCCGTGGCGTTTCCTACGATATAATTACCAGATTTGGTCACTTACAAAAACCGGGATCCAAAGCTGCTTTAGCGTTGGGTTACGCGCGGCTGGACCGAAAAAAAAAGGAGAGCCCATGTCGAGCCTCCCGCCGGGGGAAATAATGGTCTCTTTTTATTTATCTGTGGTCTCTTACAAGGACTTGCAAGGACCACGTATAAACACGTCCCGTCTGTTGCAGGGGATGTTCCGGGGTAAGATATCTCCTGCGCTGGGTGGCGAACGGCACGTGGCCCGCGTCCCGGTAGAACACTCTTGCGAGCTCGCGATAAACATTTCTCGAAGATGAATTATTAAAGGTAGGTAGGCAAGGTAGGTAAGGCAATGGGAGAGGCAAATAGAAGAGGAGGAGGAAGAATTCTGACCCGTCTTGGTAAGTCGGGATTCTCTTTCCTTAATGGATCGCTTCGGGACATGGCTCAGTATGTAAAAGCTCATCTTGGATGGACTGGATGGGATCATGCAAAGTAGATGAACCGGATGAGATTCGACGGGAAATCTCCTTGTTTGAAATTCCCGACCAATAACAAGCCGACGATAGGGGATGGGACGGCTGTCGTGGACGGAATAGACTTAACAAGTTATAGTAGTGACTTACTTCGGAGACTCGGAGTGGTTTGGAAGAAAAGAGACAAAAAGGTGGCCCCAGGTTTTTCTCTTTCTTTCTTTTGTCCCTAGGGATAATCAATCTGGACATTGTCGGTCGTTAATCGATTCATCCAAGTGTCAGCTCTGATCGACCAAGCATTAGCTTCAAGTGAGGCGGACCGTCAAAGAATAAAGTCCTCTAATGGTCCAATGGTCCAATAGTCCGATCTGGGGGTCTGGGGGTCTGGGGGGCTAGGCCCACGTTGGAATGATATTGGCTGGCCTAAGCTGGACCGCGGAGCTGCGTGCCGGCTCTTCAATCTAAAAGAGTGCGCCGTATCCATGTCTGTTCGGGCCGGGCTGCCGCATGGGAGAAGACCCCTGACGATGGAGGGGAGCGAGGGGCAGCCAAGTCCGATATGGACATGGGGTAGGTTAGAAAGGGTTTCTTCAACCTGGTTAATAAAGCCCTTACCTTTGACATACCTATTTAGTCCTTGCTCGACCCCGCGGTAACCCAGCAGTCCCAGGTGGGCAAAAGAAGAGAAAACGGAATCTGAATGGCCGAGTCACAGCGTACTGAAGGGACAGAAGGATCACAAGACACGGGGACACGCACCAGGTAAAAGAGAAAAGAGGGAAAAGGCTGAGCATGTCCAACGTAGATGTGGTACAGCGCACAGCCGCTGCACTCCCCTCAAAATTCGAGTCTGTAATGGCTGCCGCTGCCGCTGCCGCTACCGCTACCGCCACGGCTGCTGGAGTTGGAGTTGGTACTGGAACTGGAACTGGAACTGGAACAGCCACCACAACTCCAAGTAGCCCTGCTGTCACAATGGCGTCGACTAAACCCACTACAACATCTTCCTCTTCTACGTCGATAGCGACAGCGATCTCGACGACAACTACAGCAACAAAGACGACAGCACCACCACCAAAAACTCTAGGAATAAATACAATATCATTTCCACCACAAATAGGGGTAATTGGAATCAAAAGGACAAGAAACGGAGACCATAAAGAAGGCAGGAATTCAAAAAGTAGGCAGAGGCCCTTTACCAAGAGCATGGAGCCTCCGGTATTATCATTTTACGGCACGCAGCCGGTGCCTCTACCCTCACGATTTGGCAGTCTTAAAAAGCGTCTCGTCGCAGGCCACGAGTCTGCGCTAGAAGCATCGTGGGGACGACTTCTGACCGCCCTGCGCGAAGAGATTAAGTATATCGAAGAGCACGGCTCCGGTTTAATCCCGTCAATTGACTTCACCGACATGGATGATGCCGCCAAAGTTGCGCCGTTCGGAGAGCAGCTAAAGCGACACGGCATCGGCGTCATTAAAGGCGTCGTTCCCTCTGCAGACGCGAGCTCCTGGGTCGAGGAGACTAAAAAGTATCTCGAGACGAAGCACGAGTATAAGCCGCCGCCGGCACAGGATCCTACTTGCTTCGACTTCTTCTGGACTCCTGCGCAGGTACGCTCGCGCGCGCATCCTAATGTTTTGCAGGCCCAGCGGTTCGCCATGTCGCTATGGAACGCGAATAATGACGACCGGGTCGCGACGAGGTTCCCCATCACGTATGCGGACCGAATCCGAATAGAGTCGGTCTCGAACGGCCACCTCACTGTAAACGGAGCTCTCGCTGCGACGCATGAGGATACCTTGATCGCCGCCGCAGCTGCGACATCGTCTGCACAGATCGCGCAGATCGACAACGGTAGTCTGGAGCGTTGGGAGCAGGACGGCTACGGACGTGGCGGTCTTTACGATGCAGTCTTCAAGGGCGACTGGGAATCCTACGATGCGTGGGACCCGGCAGGACGCATCAACGCGACGTCTGATTTATACAACGGTGCAGGCGCGTGTTCTATGCTGCGCCTATTCCAGGGCATCCTTGCGTTGACGGTCGTCGATCCAGGAATGATTCGATTGCTGCCTTCGCCAAAGCTATCAACAGCTTACTTTCTTCTCCGACCCTTCTTTTCACCAAAGAAGGGACCGCCTCAACAGGGCGCCACCGAAGAAGAGTGGAATGCGTACCTGGATGCATCGAACTGGGTTCTTGACAAGGACCAGTCGACAATAATACACGGTGCAGTTCCAGGTCACGCACAACGTGTGACGGCACCGTGGCACCCTCATTTGCAGCTCGACAAGAGTCTCGTGACGCCACCTACACTACAGGCTGGCGACTACATAATTTGGCATCCGGACCAGGCGTACCAATTCTCCAACACCAACTACCGCACTAGCAGCCGGCCGCAGACATCCTCCAGCGAACCTGGAGCCGGCGATACAACCTCTATGCTGGTTTACACCCCCGCAGCACCTCTAACTCAAACCAACGCCCTATTCCTCGCACGCCAGCGTAAAGCTTTCCTGCGCGGCCACCCAGGCCCAGACTTCGACTCCACCGGCACAGGTCTCGGCAGCGAGGCGCCGCACACGGGCCGTCTTAGCGAGAAAGACATCCGGGAAGTAGGCGGCGAAGAGGGGCTACAAGCCATGGGCCTTGCGCCGTGGAACCTAGCCAGCAGTAGCAACAACAGCAGCAAAGGCAGCAGTAGTAATAACAGCAACCACAAGCATGCAGCGCCGAAGGAGAAGAGAAACGCAGACGTAGACATGGACGTCGACGCGCCCAGCAGGAGCAGCAGCCGAGACAGCAGAAGCAGCAGCACAAGCAGCAGCACGCACGCCGAAGCCGAAGTCGTGCGTCTAGCCAACATCATCCTGTTCCCCGACCGCTACGACTTCTACATGCCGACGCGCGCCAGCAGTCCCTCGCCAGCAAGCCGGGACCGAGACCGGGACCGGGGCGAGAAGGAGAGGGAGCGCGAGCGCGAGCGAGATAGGGGTAATAGGGAGCGGGAAAACTCGGACCGGGATAAGGATAGAGACAAGGGGAAAGATAAAGAGAAATAAATAAACGAGGACGGACGAACAAGAAAGAAAATACACTAAACAAGGACGGGGGCGGTAAAGCATGACTTGATAAATGGGAATGGGTAGGAAGGGGGTTGGGGTTGCATAGGCCTGGATGGCTTGCTAGCCACGCATGCGAGCGAGCTTACGAGTTGCTGCTTATTACTACCATATTTAAAGCTGTATATACGTTACTTCTCTCTCTTCCTCCCCCTCTCTTCTACAGAGACGCGCATCACGAGGTAGAGGTAGCTGAGATAGATAGTACAGGACGGAGAGACTGACGAGCCATTCGAGTCGGTTCAAGTCGGGTTAGGCTTAATTGAGCTGGGACACTTTGCGTCCCTTGATTCTATGATGAATGATCTGTAGTTACTTCAACTCATACAATATCTTACACTTAAACCATATCAAGTAGATCAAATAGACGAAGTAAATCAAATAAAACGAATAGTCATTTGAAACGTATCGATACTACCCTAATTCGCACTTCATTTCATTATCATCGTCATACATATTACGTTGACACGCAATGCTGTGCCCGACCATCCAGACTATTCTCGCCCTCACTCTCGTCCAACCTTCCAAAACATACGGAGAAAACCAAGAACCGATCTTATGCCTGACCCCTTGCCTCCTGTAACGTACCGTGTTGATCCTACCCCGAAAGACCATACATACAAAACCTCAACCCTTCCTAACAATTACTTAAACATCAGAAAGCCACTCCTGCTCGCGGAACCCGTCTAGTTCCCGCCGCAACAATCGCTGCTCCCGTGGCAAATTCCTGCCGTTGGAGAGCAAGTTCCAGCTCGGTTAGCACACACTGTGCACTGATTATCTTGAACGTCTGGAAGTCATCCTTGTTTCTGCCGAAGCTCTTCGACTTGGCGATACCGGCGTGGAGGCAGGCGATGCTCAGTTCAAGCGGCGTGCTGTCGTGTTGCCGGCTATCAGTGTGGTAATCTGTCAAATCTGTGTCGCTGTCGCTATAATCATCGTCATCATCGCTGTCCCGCGGGTCCACCTTTTTCTTGCGGATCATGCTTTCGACCCATCGTGCGATCGCATCATAATCGTCTTTGAGGCGGATCGATCTATCTCGCTGCCGGCGAGTCTGGGCGCCTGTCTTATTAAAGATGTACCCCGTAAAGACCTCAAGCTCCGAAAGGCCTTTGGTAAAATTATCAGAATATTCCATAGTTGCAGTCCAAACCGCATCGTCATATCTATGAATTAAGATTAGCTATTTTTAAGATCATAAACAGTATGCCATTCACTGCAAGGGGTGCTTACGCATCACGGATACGACGGGCTTCATCTAAGGCTGCCTCCCAGTCGACATATCCTAGCTCGTCGCATCTACGGTTGATGTATTGAAGCAGCTGGTCCCATACTGAAGGGCCATGACGGCTAACAAATTGATGGATGTCATTTTTCCAGATCCGCTTCTCGTCAATAGCTCTGTATAGTTCGCCAAGGATTTTTTCGGATTTGTAATATACATGCCCGGGACCGCTATCATCATCTTCGTCTTCGGGGACTAGGGCTTTCGTTGTTTCAAACACGATTTCTGTCTTGTCGACGATGTTCGCGGGAGGGGCAGGTGCCAAGCTACACAGAGCTGAGTTAATGACTCAAACATCTTCGCGTAAAGTTATTGCCTCACCTCCTCCGGAAGAGGAAGTAAAAACAGTAATATTTTCAAAAAACACTTACAATTCTGGGCGGTATTTTGTTGTTGTCAAACCTCTAAGCTTGTTGATATCGATCGGAATACCCGATTTGCTGTAATCCACGCCTGTGGAATGCATCTCAGCAAGAAGTTTACACTCATCATCGACCGACCCTGCTTGCTTCCTATCGGCGAGAATCAAGTGTTTCGTAGCGATTACACCCAACCTATGATAATAATAATATTAGCAAATATACATTGCGGATGGATTATGTCATACTGCGTTTAATGGGAATATGGACTTATTTGAACTTACTGGTCGGTGGCCATGAATTCGACGAAGAAATCCGTCATGTCCTCCCATCTCACCTCCCGGCCAATGTTCAGGGGATTAACCCGGGGGTAGTCCGCTGGGGTGAACTCTAGCAGCGATGGGTCGACAGCAAGCTCGTCCCATATGATGTTGTAGATATCCCCATCGAGATCTCCACCGCTTAGTTGACTAGGAAGATCTCTCTTTCCTTTCCGGCTGAATACAACACAGTTCGTGAGCGACCGGAGGGGATGATAGTCTGGAGGTACGACCACTGTCCGTAGTTGAATATCGCCCGGGTGAAGAGCAGGGGACCTTGTTATCAATACCAATCGGTTATGAAGGTCTATATTAATGCCACGTTTTCTGTAAAGCTTTTCTTGCTCAAACGTGACGTAGATTTCGTCCTCCTCCAAAAACCCAAACTCATCCATAACGCCGAAGAGTGTGACACCTTTCTCGACTGGAATCCGGGCTTTATGCTTGAGAAGACGGACCTCCCTTAAGATAACGGTCTCTACGACGGAACAGAGGAAATTGTCCTTCTTGTAGTCTATCCCCAGCTTGTGGAGACGGCGGATGAATTTTGAGAAGTTGATTTGCTCCGCAACCTTTTGTCTCTTGAGGAATGTGACGGTATTATGCATCTGGGCAGTGATCATGCGTAGTCTCTCGAGTTCGCGGTTTTGAACTTGAAGGAACCATTCGCTTGCGACACCCATATCCTCAAGAATCTTGATCATTTGACGATTAAGAACAAGGGGGATAGGCCTATTCCCCATATCACATATCTCCAGGTATTTGCTATCTTCGCTTTCGAATTTAACCATACTCGGTCTAATGCGCATGACCATTCCCTGGAGGGTGTCGTCCAAAGAAAGCATTCCTTTAGCACCTGCCCACCTAATCTGGAAACACGTGGTCGTGTCTCTATGTTGTGGTAGGGAGGCATGAATAGCCTCCATCAATGATCTAGACAGTGTCCCAACCCCATCGCTGAACACTCTCTCTCCATCGCTAGATGTCACATCATCAACAAGCTCGATGCGGGTCCCAATGCTTAAAAGATCGATAGAGAATGGAGTCTCGGAAAAAGCCTGGCCGATTCGGGCGGCGCACTTGGAGGGCGAGTAGATCTTATTAAATTTCCCGAGAAGTGAAATCACATGGAAATAGTCCTGCGAGTAACCATCATGATCAGTGAAGGGAGCCATGAACCATACACTGTGTGCTCGAAGAGACGAGTGAGAAAACCCCAAGAACCTGTAATCGCGACCAGCGATATGAACCCCTTGTAAGAGGATATTCCTGAACCGTTCCCAGACCGAGTCAAGCGACACCTTGGAATTAAAGAATAGGTCCTGGCCATCCTCGTCGCAAAATTGAACACGGGCAAAGTAGCTGATATGGTCAGGAAACTTCCGCAGTATTCGGTTTTTCGCTTCTGGTTCAGGTCCAAGAAGGGTGATTCGAGTGGGGGTAACCTGCACTTTGTATACCATCACAAGACTCTGGCTTGCCCTCTCCGATATTAGCTCCTTTCCGGTGCCGCGACGGATTTCCTTTTCATTGGCCTCCAGGTATGACCAAATCTCGTCTGGATTAAATGTGCTTGCCTCCACATTTGGGCTAGGGAATGGTATTTGGGAGAAAAGCTTCTTGACCGCACCTGCGGAGAAGGGAAAGGAGGGATTTGTTGGTGCATTCTTGGTACCATTAATTCCGCTGTTACCTATGCCCGGTCGGTAATTCCCGTTGACTTGGACGCCCGAATACCCATTGGTGGGAGGGACACGGGTTTTCTGGCGAAGGCGCTTGAGTAGTATCTCGACCGTCTGTGGCAAAAGATAGCCGTTTTGAACAAGAGCTTGAAACTGAAAAAGGATATCAAAAGGAATAGCGGAAGTAGTCTGGCATTCATCGAGTAGAGCTTTGATTGCCTCGTTCCCCTCGTCCATAGATGTTCGGCCGTACAAGACGTCCGGGAAGTCATAGTACGAAATCTTGAGCTTTTCCTTTTGCTTGAGTCGCTGCAGCTTAGGGTTGAACTCAATAGGCGATACCTGAATACTGTACACGAGGCTCTGCCCTAGGATTGCTGCATGATTGGCGCTAGTGTGTGGTAGGTGGCTCAACCGAAGCCTGGATGCCTTGATTGCTCCTGGGGTAGGTCCAGAAATCCCCAATTGACTCATGTGCAATGCAATATCTTGAGGTGAAGCATGCGTTTCAAATAATCGAGGCGCTTCCCATAGCGTTAAGGTCAACGTAGGTATCTGACGAACGCTAGCAACGACTATCTCATCGACAGTACGATATGGGATTTCAACTCGGATGGAATCGTATGAGATTATAAGTGAATCCCTGGCAAATTTGGCTACTCCTTTGATATTCCATGTGATGTCGGGGCTGTAAGCGAGCCTGCTACCCATATATTCGTAATGGCCGCATGAAAACTCGCGAAGATCGAAGGCAACTTTTCTATCATTCGGAGACAACGTCTCTTCTTCCTCCTGCTGTTTGAAGTCATCGGCTGTCTTGATCATGGCCTTCAGTAGAAATTTGTCCGGGGTTTTTTTACTGATTTGACACCTGACCCAGTTGCCGAGGATATTCAAGTTTCCTTGAACACGCCGCGGACCGATTCTACGGACGCCGCCGTGAACTTGCAGGAATCTATGGCCATGTTCTTCGTAGAGGAAGGTAACAGTGCCGAAATGTTTCCCGCGGACCTTCCTGCAGGTCCAATCCGTGATGCGCAGTCTATCAGTAATGATAGCTGTTAGTTGAGTCTTGAGGCCCTGGTCGTTGAGGCCATAAGGAAGGTCTTGCATGAAGACCTCCATGCTAAGTTTGTGTAAAGTCTACTCGAAAAATGTGCGGATGGAGAAAACTAAACTTCAAGGATAGATAGATAGATAGATAGATACTAAAGTAGGTTAATAAAGTGTAGCCTTGTCAGGAAACAAGATGGGGAAAGTGTAATAACTTAAACGAACAGAGTTCAAAAGGTGGTATGGCGAGATTGATCGGCTGGTAGCGGGCAGCTGCAGAATCCAATAGCAGCTCTCTGCGACGTAGGAACGAGGGGGTAGCTTCCACGAATTTAGGTAGGTGTAGGTACTTTGGGTAACACAAAGTGCGGGCAGCTTGAAATAATCTGAGGCACATGTTATAGCGAAAAAGGGTGGTACGATAACTTAATGCATATCCATGTGAGGCCGATCGGAGGTTCTTTTGAGTTAAATTCTGAGGCCCAAAAAGCTGATTGAGGCCAAAGCCGTGCTTACCTAATATATCAGCATATGCGTTTGTTCAGTTATAGACACAACATTAAATGAACAATGTATTGTGTCTCCTGACACTTGAGGACATGAATAAATTCTGCAGCCTAGCTGGCGACCTATACTAGAACGTATAATAACAATACCTAATAAGACATTTATGACAATTGGTAACTTTGTTCGAAGATTAGGCCTTTGGGTTATTATGGCCACCATTTTTTGTCGATTGAACTATAGGTGGTATTTGTCGACTTCTTTTCGGTGTAAGACTAAGGGTCATATTACACATTTTTCACTCGTTTGCTATACTATAGTATACGTTGTCGACCAGGACTATTTATTCACATCCAATAGTCTTACATGGTATTAGGAAGATGTTTGCGTTGAAAGAGAAAGGCTATCATAGATATCATATCTACAGCTGCTTGAATAAGAGTTGATACTAGGTGTCCCATTTGACCTAGATGTAAGGGAAAAACGTGAACCAATCATTGTTCCCGAATAGGAAATCTTCAAAATCAACCCCGCCAATCATCAATTATCTACCCCTTCAACTACAAACACTTACGTTTTCTCCATGCTAATCCAACAGTCTCTGATCGAGGGTTAGGGAACTATGGATTCGCCAAAGAACAAACAAAAACGCAAGAGACCACCACCTCAGAATCCAATTGAGGCGGCAATTAAGACTTGGTTTCATGCCAGCGCTTTGGCTCAGCACCAGCAATGGGATTTTGATGAACTCGTTGCTCATGCCCCGAAAAGATGGACGGTGTACGAGCCGATGGTGCTACTTCCAGCAGGCTCTTTTCATACAGCCACGTGGAAACAGTTGCTTCTGGACCTATCCGATGAGCAGGTCGATCTCTTGTGGATCCAGATCCTGGCAGAGATCTCCAAGAGGAGCGGAGGAACGCACCTCACGCATCTAGCCGTAAACGAAGGGATTCCTGCAGCCCTCCGCCACAGCCCAGGGGGAGATGCAGCGGGGGATAATTCTGCGCCGGAGAACATACTGCGTAGCCCGACCGGCCTTCATATCCTGCATGGGGACTTCGGCCCCGCTTCTGCTGAGGATATAACGACAGATTTCGAGCATGCATTCTGGGTTTCGACGAGGCAGAATGGCGTATTCCAGACGTGGGCGCCCCGGTGGACTATGTTCAGTCGAGGGAACATCAAGGAAAAAGCGCGGCTACTCAGCTTTCATGACGGCAGGCACATGGAAGATAGAAAACCGCCAGAGGATATCTGGGCAGTCGACCTATACGCGGGTATCGGGTACTTTACCTTCTCGTACGCGAAGCTAGGCATGCGGGTGCTATGCTGGGAGCTGAATCCGTGGAGCGTGGAGGGCTTGCGCCGTGGTGCCAAGGGAAATGGCTGGTCGGTGCGGGTTGTGAAAGACGAACATGCCCTCACATTGCCGATAGAGGAGCTTATAAGTGGAGGTGAGCAGATCATAGTCTTCCTCGAAGATAACAGGCATGCTGCGCGAAGAATCAAAGAGCTAAGTGAACTGAATATATCCCACGTCAACTGTGGCCTACTACCTACCAGTGACGCCTCATGGAAGGATGCTTGGGATATTGCAGGGCGCAATAGAGGACAGGAAGCGTGGCTTCATCTGCATGAGAATGTAGGGGTGGCAGATATTGAGAAACGAAAGGGAGATATCGAACAGTATTTCTCGAGTTTAGCACCAGACGACAACGGCAATACCGACAGAACCGCACGCGTAGAGCATACGGAGCTTGTCAAGACATTCGCGCCGGGTGTTTGGCACTGCGTGTTCGATCTATACATTACAAGGTCTAGTAGCATAACATGAGCGTATTATACATAAACTCATTCCAATACGCGCCAGGTCATAAATCGTGTTTGTTTCCTAACGCAGCCCGCCAAAATGCAATTGCTAATACTCCCCTTCTCTCCAATTAGGTATTTAGTTTAGAATATTTTCCAATGGGTATCAAGTATCAATCAAGTTTTTCAGTTGCTTCTTCTAAACTTGCTCGGAATGTTATCTTCTACGATGGCCATCTTGTTTAGCTTCTCGAGCCTTTCCTCTTCGTCCTCTAGCATCTCGTGCTTCTTGAAATGCTCGATGTCTTCAGGGTGCGTTAGGTCCTCGAGTTTGGTGTTCTCGTCGTGATACTTTTCCCAGTGGTGTATCTCGTACTCGTACTCGTCGTCGCCGTGGTGTCCGGGTCCCGTTCCCACGTCTGGAAGAGTCTTCCCGGAGTTGATGAAAGCGACAAACTCGTCGCGCGTCACGAGCCCATCTCCATTGGCATCTAGTAGATGTAGTAGCTCGCGTTGAATCTCGTCACGGCGTGATTGTGGCACGGCCTTATTCGATTCGTCCATCAACCCGTACGTGCGCAAGATCTCATCGGCTTCCCACTGGCCGTCGGCATCGTAGTCGTGTAGGACGAAGAAGGATGAGGCGTCGAAGTCGCTGATATGGTGCTCCTCTGTAGCCATTGTTAGATTTAAGGGGATAGATAAGCGAATAAGGAGCACATCATACCGGCCATGTGCTTGGTTATCCAGTTGGCGTTCTCGTCGATCATTGGCTTTTGCGATCCGCCGTGATCACCGTGGCCGAGGACTTGACTAGCGAGGCCAGCAACAGCCAATATCGTAGCGCGCATTCTGATACGATCTGCTGAGATTTATCAAATATTACACTGATGACTGAAGGGACTAAAAGGCGGCGACTTGAGGGCAAGGGAGTACGAAGAGTCAAAAGAGAAAGAGAAGCAAAAAGGACAAGAGGACATGCACGACGGGAGTTACGCAAAGAGTAGAGCCGGGCAACCGGGGAAGTTGCATCCGTGGATCTGGCTCCAAGATAAGCTAAGGTGGATAGATAAGGGAAGTGAGATCATCGATCCCCAGTTATGATCCTGCAGTTTTCCTGCAGGGGTCAAACCCGCTAAGATTAGCCTATCAGCCTATCCGGGTCGCGTTCAGAGCAAGTACGGGGTTAGCAGGGGTTTGCTTTAGTGATCGTCTAGTCATCTAAGCTTCCTTCGTCATTTTGGATTCTTCAACTTTGACAACTTCTGAATTCGTCCTACTTTTGATCCGACTGCATTTGGACGTAGACATCTAAGCCATTACATCTTGCTCTTCCGCTTGTCCTATTCCTAGTATCCTAAGCCTGATTCCGACATGAGCCGCACTTTAGAACCAACCCTCCTTTCTCTACTACCTACCTACTCCAAAGACTTACCTCAACCTCTCCTCGAGCTCGCGTCTTCCTTGCTTACGCAGTCCCGTCACAATGCTGGTGCGCTCAAGGCCGAAGAAGAAGTAGCTCGGACCTATGCATGTGCTCATATTGCTTGCGAACGTCTGAAGATAACACTCGACCTTCCACCGATCCAACCCAGACCTCCCGTCCCACCTCGAATATACAAGAGACTATATGCCCATCTTGACAATGTCTTACCTGCAAATGCTGGGGGAAGGTCAGGACGAGTGCGGACCCCGAGCTCAAAGCTACGCGAGTCGGGAACATTAGGCAGCGCTCAACGAATTCCCTCCCGAGGTACGCCTACTAAGGAGGAATCGTTAGCTAAGTTTCGGTCTCCCGCTGCAGTCAAGTTTAATAGCACCCCGTCGAAATCTGCAAGTAAACCGCCACCGCTGCCCGCCAAAAGAAAAGCAGGAGGCAGTACGAGCGCACTGCCGGCTTGGGTTCGACCCACTATTCAGTTTATGTGTAAAGAGCTGGACGAAGAACGTATCGGACGAGTCGTCCTCGCCGGTATCCAGACGATCGCCACTCCACACGGGAAGCGAACTAAAGACGAATGGGTTAATGAGCACTTGGCACCGTTGCTGGCGGCTGTGTATTTCCTCGTTTCGTCGCAAATATATGTGTTAGAGCAAGGAAAGGACTTGGACGATCCACAGTACGCGCGGATGAGAAAATCGATCCTTAATGTTATGGGACGAGCACAGGAGAACGTTCACGTAACGGGGATGGATGAGGACGAGCTATGGATCGGCTGGACAGACATCAAGTCGAGAGATGTAGACGGTGCCGTTGCTAAGGTGGTCGAGAATAACTGGCAGGAAGAAGAGTGGTTCGCTGGTATTAAGCACATGGTTAAAACAAAGAACACCAGTGTCGACGACGAAGACGCGGAAATGGAGGATGGCGACGAAGAACAATTTAGCGAAAGGCTTCATATCCAGAGGGGTGATACTATGCTTCAGAGCAAGTGGGATATGACCGATAAGAAGCGAGAGGAATACCGCGCGTGGAGAGAGGAAATGATGTGCCGAATAGAAGAGTTCGAAAACTCTCGAGCATCCGAGACAGATATTCATACTTTCGCCTAATGGTGATGCAATAAGGAACGCCAGAAGTCCCGAGTAGAGTCGAGAGCCAAGTAAGTAGGTAATAGGAATTTCCAAACTCACGTCCCCGTCTAGACTGATCCTCCGGATAATTCAGGCAGCCGCCTCCTGTTTATTACCACGCCCCGTACCGGTAGCCTTGGGAATTATATATTCGACTACTTATTTTCTATATATCCCACCTCTGAGCTAACAACTGGGTCTTTTCGATTCTATAATTATCAATACCATCCACCTCCCTCGCCTACTTCAACACAATGGCCATGCTTGGGTCCCTAAACTTTCCGCTTTTCGCTCAATTGCCAAATGAGTTACGACTACTTGTGTGGGGGCAGTATGCTCTTCCAAGAGTGCCCATATATTACGCCCGCTTCTTATCGTACCCGCCACTCCGTGTCGAGTCTTTTCAGTCTAACTCCATGGTTCGACGCCTCATGCAGGTGAATAGAGAAGCAAGATCTGCGGTCTTGGGTAATCGGCAGCTTTATATTTTTACAAATGGCCGGCCTTATGTCATTTCACACCAACTTGCGCCGTTTTGTGAAAATTCCCCTACCACGAATGAGGACGAGTATGGATATAATTGGACCCGGCAGAGATATATGTTTGTGGACTTCAAGAAGGATATATTTTGTTTTGAAACCATACGCTTGATAGAGACCCGCGAACTGAGGCTTCCTGATTGGCTTATTTTCGAAGGGCATATCAAGAATATGACCTTTGATCTCTCCGACGCCATTTACACGCTGAAACAACTATCAGTACCATGGGGCGTATTGCGCTATTTGGAGTCTGCTTCTAAAGTTCTTAATAGGTTCATTTACCCATATCTTCGACTAAGCCTAAAGTCCTTCCGCCGCTTACAGTTCATCATCCACCCCGAGGATCTCCTGGAACTTTACTGTCAGGACTTTTACGGAGGCTGAAGCACTGGAGGTACCAATGTACCGCAGCTTATGGATCTCTACATGGTGTATGTTCCTATATCAACTGAACAACTTACTCATCTCATATTAGAACGAAACCCATTACGGCTCGAGAACGCTGAAAATTGGCGTCGTAACATTTTGTTGTACGAGATGAGCCGATTTACTAGGGAGGTATCGTCAAAGATTTCCGAATTGTGTGAGCGAGACGTCTGTGTCGATGTCATCATAAAGAGCCGCCGTTTATCATCCACAAGTTGGAAGCCAGCGCCTCCTTTAGCTCGTTTAACTCGTATATGTACGTTTGACAATGGGTCTGGGGCATACTCCTAGACGTAGGAATACTTATATTTGGGGATGAAATCTCTTGGGCCGAAGTGGATTATATTTGAGATTGTATTTATATTTCTTGGCTTTTACTTATAAGCCCATTGATACTATGAGATTGGCTTATATTCACACACTTAGGAATCTTAGGAACATGACTTTGGTTAACTATTTTCATTACTATCAACTGAATGTGCATGTATTCGTACGCATCGACAGTTTTGCTGTATCTTACGCCCCTTTTCTCGTCTCGTTTCCACGGCCGATCGTATCCTGGACAGTTCCGCCAACGGACCCCTTATCGGTGAACTGGCGTCCGACTATACCCTCTTTCGAGAATGGACCACCAATCTTATTTGCTGTACCACCGATCGCGCCCTCGGACTAGACGCTCAAGACGTGTTAGCTAATACATACATACATAGACATATACCGACTAGATACAAGACTTGCGATATGAAAATGGAAATAGACAGGTCAATATCCACGTACCGAGAACTGATGTCCAATAGAACCTTGGGTATCGAATGCCGAGGTCTTAGTCGCCGAGTCTGAGCTTGGTTCTGGACCCAAGTAATTCCCGGTAGCAGGGAACTTGTCGAACCTGGACTTTTTATCCGTCCTCCCTCCGCTACTCTTAAAACCAGAATCGTTACCTCCACCACCGCCGCTGCTGTTGTGCATGCTCTGCCCAACGCTTCCCGGATCCCCGCCTCCCACAGGCTTTTTCAATGCTCCCGGAACATCGGGCGTGTTGTCGGCAGCGGACTTCATAGCACTAAAGATACCACCCCGCTCCTTATACCCCGGCATCACGGACTCGAGCACGCTACTGCCATCGGTCCGGACGCCGTCGCGGTGGGTCTGTGGGGCCTCCTGCGATTCGTCGTAATCCCGGTGCCCTGGAATCATAGTCTCCTCGATGCCGCCGTGCCGCCCGTCGTGTGTGAAATCGCCATGGAACCCTGAGCCCTGGTGCTGCTGCTTCTTAGTGTCTCCTGGTTTAAGGGCGTCCTTGATGGTGCCGAAAAAGGATTTGCCCTGGTTTTGATCGTGGACCTATCACCTCGGACTCGTATGTTAGTTGTGACTGCTCTGTTGGTGATATCGGGACCGATGGGCAAATGGGAAGACGTACGTATCCGGCTGCTGTACCCTTATGGTCCGGGTCCTCCGATAGATCGATGTTCTGCTGTGCCGCTCTCGCCCCGTAGTTTAGTCCCCGGATCGGGTTTCCGCCTGTGCCGCCGGTCGACATGATTATGAATTGCTAGGTTTGGTAAGTTGGATATTCTTGTTTTCACAGATATTTTCCCCTAAATCCTGAATGAATAAATTCGATGATTGGAATCAAATTGCCCATTTTCGACCGAACACTACTATTTATATGGCCACCCTTGTGAACTTTCAATATAGGCGTCTCCATCGTTTCCACGTCATGGTGATACGCCTAATACCTGGAGGAGACCTCATCTTAACTTAAAATGTATTAATGCACCAGGATGATGTAAAAGGACAGGAACGATTCATAGGTTCCCATGGTTGCTTGCTGAAGAGAACGTGTATTTGGGGAGAATGATCAGCATTTGATCGAGATGTCATGCGTATCCAATGAGAATAGTTGTGATATCGAGCCGGTATCACCGACGGGAATTCTAGCCAGCCTCGTAGAAAAAATCGATATTCAAACTATATTTAACAACTCCATGCCTTTTCAGATCTGCAGGTTAGATCATGTATCGAACATGCCTACATATCCGCCTATAGAATGTGGTGTAGGAGACCTATCACAAAGCCTCCCACCCTGACACGCAGGACTTCCACCCTATTTCACCCTATGGGCTTATTCCTGCAGCATGTATCTCCAAAGTTCCTACCCGTAGCCTCACCCAATTCTCTTACAGCGAAACTCACGACCGGACACAAGAAGCCATGGATGCCCATCCCTCGAACTCAGGGACTCATTCATCCTTTACCCAATCATCGCCCGGTATTCTTCAACATTCTTACCCTTGAGCATCGCACAGCCATGAACGAGCACGGACAGATACCTAACATCTACTCGGGCAGCAACGCCTTTCCAAGCCTTCCCGACAATAACCTTACCATTGGCTGGGCCATGGACGACCAGCCGGACGCTATGCAGGACATACCGCCAATCACCCAATCTTCACTCGCACAGTCGAGTGTAGAAGGGTAAGGCGCTTTTTTTTTTAAACTAACACAATCACCGCACTCCTAGTTGTGCGCATAAACCAATCAACACCTCGCTTGCACCTACCTGCATCGAGTGTCACGGCATATTTCCGAACCACACGCAGCTAAGCAAGCATGCAAAAGACGCATCTCATAAACCATACGGTTGTACCTGTAGAGCTAAATTTGGTCGACCGGACGCCCTCACACGACACGTTGATACTCAGTCCAGCAATATTCCCCAGTACCCCTGTGAATACTGCAAGCGCCATCAGGGGGCAAAAGGCTTTCACCGTCTTGACCACCTGGTACAGCACTTGAAAGGCTTCCACAGAATCGACACTGAAGACAAGCTACCGAAGCAGAGGACAGGAGGCCCTACTGTTGCTGTCACTTCCGTGGCTGGAGGATCAGCTGTCACCAACGAAGAAAACGGGAGCTTTGTTTCGCTGCCTCAGATCCCCCCCTTCCCTTGCACCGTCATTGGTTGTATCAAGGGGGGTGCAGATGGCTATCTTCGGGAGATAGACCTCCTCGAGCATCAGAACATGATGCATGCATTCATGGTCCAGGGTGACATGCAGTTCTATCACCAAGATGGTTCTTCCCAGTTCCACTTCTAAGAGATCATGATTCGGGCTTGCAGAACGGATTTGGAATTTGAGACTACCCTGGGGAATGACTACAATTGGCGAACATTCGTTTACTTTAGAGTAATGAAGTGGATGGACATGACAGCTACGGTAACACTACACTCTTTATACTCAAAGGCAACCTCAATATAACGTCTTGATATATATATATGCTACTCTTACAATGTGCTAAAGCTTAGTTCTATGAAGCTGTGTCCAGCGAATAGTATATACCGGAACAAAAAAGGGGGTAATAAATAGGGGCAAAAGGGGGCGACTCCACTTCTGACTTTAACGATGAGAGTTACTGACACAGTTTGACTACGGGGATTGCTAGACGTGGATAGCACCGCACATGATATATTTCATACAACACTATATACTTGCAGGAGTTAATATAGTCTTGGTATAGAGTAGTTTAAAACGGTTTTATTGTGTAGAGCATAGATTGGTATACTAGTAGTACGTAGGTAGCCTTCCCTTTTACTACCAAGTCTCATCAGAAGTATATAAAAGCAAACCGTAGAGGGCTCGTATTCAGGGATAACCTGCCTAGGTACTCACTAACCTGCTCATGAAATATGTACTATGCTACCTCATACATTTCAACCGTTCTAGCTAACCCTAGAGCATCCACACAAGAGGTAAGAAGAGCAATGCACAGAAATAATATTACGAATACCTCTCTAATTTCCTAACCTATGATACAAGGAACCGCATCACACATAGCTCTAGGCCAACCCATATGCCGCCGTCAAACGCCAAAAGAATCGGACAAGCTGAATCACCAGACGTTCCGTATAGAAGGACAATCTCATATCCGCAAGTACGAAACCCTTCATATCCCATCGCCCGCCACATTCAAACGGCGCTGTAGCCTCCGCGACTCCCACTCCCCTGCACCGTGTTAAGCACCCTCCTAGTCCAGTCCTTAAGTAGGTACGGAATGTCGCGGATGGTGTCGCCGTGCGGGATGAGGTCCCAGCCCCGAGCCCCGTATCGGTTGTAGTTGAGCCACGAACCAAAGACGAGATAGGCCGCAGTTCCAAGGAATACGCTAAATATCGTGATTAGCATGTTATACATCCAGCACTCCGGATAAAACAAGAGCAATCACTTACATGATAACCAGCCACGTGAAGAAACCCCAGTGCGAACTTGGGCTTTCACCCGAGTCATCGTTGTCCCTGTTCTCGCAAGCATATTTAGATAACCAGGTTAACCGTAGGACGTCGATATTCCTATCCTCGCTTAGCGGTTCGTAGCTGTTGAATTTCAAACTCGGGTCGTTCTCAAGGCCGAGCTGAACCTCTTTAGGTGGCTCGTCGTCGCCATCACCGTCACCATTGTCATCTCCGCCATCTCCGTCACCGTCCTCGGCTCGAAATAGGAGCGGATTTAACCGAGCCATGGCCGGGTCGGGGCTAGGTTCATATTTATCGTCGGCAGGATCGTATTCGCCTTCGGTCCCGTTGCGATCTTTGTCGCACAGGAATTCTATGATGGCTCTCTGCTTTCGTTTGACTCCGCTATCTGTCCTGTCGAAGCCGCCCTTCATCACTAGTAGTACACCCTCCTTCTTCGAGTCCGAATTCGAATCCGAGGTCTTGAGCCGTGTCACCTCATGATCCAAGTCACCCCCGCCAAAGTTTCGCAATTCGCCGGCGATCGGGATGGCTTTGTCGATATGGTCGTCTACGCGTTTGATGGCGCATACTCGAGTTCCATTAGGACATTCTTCGCCCTTCTTCGCACCTTTCTTCTTGCCTAAAGATCGACAAATATCTACGGTATATGTCATATTATGAACCTTGCCGTCTAGGATGCGACTCGTCATGATGGAGTGCGGGCCTCCGAGAGCCTTAAGGTTGAATATTTGCTTATCAGCAACGACGGATTCGCAGTTGAGCATTGCGACCGTTGGTAAAGGAGCTAGTAATAAGGATAGAAGCAGTACGGCATCTGCCGCATGTATCGTGGGGACTTTCATGGTGTAGGAATAATTCGCTAACGCGATCGGGTTTGTCGGTACTGTAAGGAAGTCGAGCTGCGTAGGTTGAGGATGCAGGACGCAAAAGGATATTAGAGGCTGGGTTTAATAGTCGAGGTTGATGGGTAAACTGGATGAATGGGATATGGTTGAAGCCTAGAGGTCTAGGTCTTCAGGGGATTGATTCAAGATGCGCGTGTTAGCTGTCACGATGTGACGATTTGACGATTTGACGATGTGACGATGTGACAAAACAATAAAAAGAGACGAAGGAAAGGTTACGAATAACGATAAAAATATGAAATCTACCCAAGTATCAGATGAGCTTTAATCAAAAAGGTAGATGGCCAAGTCCCTTTTTTGCGATATAGATCTCACATGCACAGATGCCCAGATGCCCAGATGCCCGGACGCCTCGATGCTGGTGAGCTAAAGTAAGGTAGCGTGCACTTGGCTGAGCGGTACTTGAAGCTTGTTGGGTTTTCGGCTGCTCTTCTTTGCGGTTCATCGTCATAGGTCTGCAAGGGTTACACCTTAAAAGTACTAATGCTTACGTAAACGAGGTACCTTACCTTAGGTACAGCTTATGTACATAACACAATGTACTGCAGTATTATAGCATTCACGTGACACCCTTTCCTTCGACCCTTTCCTTCTAGCACTCGGAACAATACGTTAAAGATCAATACAAATTCTGATTCTGTGATTCTTATCTAAAGGATCCCTTCCATCCAACATATTCTGTTGTTCGTGATCCCGTAGCAAACTAGCGAAATGGGTATAATGGAAATAAACCTGACCCGCCTGGTCCGAGGGGATACCTCGATAATGCTGCGATGCTACGGCTTTGTAGCCCTGCACACCCCCATTGCTCCTATGAACGCCATATAAGTCGCACGCATAAATGACACCCCATCTGATGCTACCCCGAGTCCGTCTGTTTGTACAACTCCAACACGAACGTGGCTACGGCCACAACGCTTCTACTATGTATTTCGACCACCGCCCCTTACTACATCATTCCGTTCATCCCATTCATCCCGTTTTGCATACCGCCTTGCACCCCATTCGGCATCCCGTTCGGCATTCCGTTTGGCATTCCGTTTGGCATTCCGTTCGGCATCCCGTTATGCATGCCATTCTGCATATTTTGAGTCATCTGCTGCCGCCGCTGAGCAATATCACGCTGCAACGACTCTTGGGCCTTTCTCAAGCAGTTCTGTTTGAACTGATCGTGAACGTCGGGAGGCACGTTCTGGGGGCCGCCAAACCGTTCCGCAAACTGTGCAATGTTCGCGCGGTAGAGTTGCTGCTGCCTCTGTCGTATTTGCACCGCAAAAGGGTTGGGTCCATTTGCCGGGTGCTGACCTTGTTGTTGTTGCTGTTGCTGTTGCTGCATGTGCTGCTGCATCTGTTGCATGGCAGCTATCTGAGCGGGGTTCATACCGTTGCCAGCGTTCATAAAATTCTGGTTGCCCATTTGCTGGTTGGGCATCTGTCCTTGCATGTGCGGGTGCTGTTGCTGCTGCTGCTGCATGCTCATCTGCTGCTGGTATCGTTGAAGCTGTGCTTGCTGAGTAGCGGATAGCATATTGGGATTTTGTATGCTCATGTTCATCATCTGCTGGCGCATAAATTGATTCTGTAACATTTGGTTATGCATTTGTGGATTCTGCCCGTTCATCATCCCGTTCTGCATAGCTTGCAGCTGTTGCTGTTGAGCAATCCGTTGGCGCTGCTGCTGCGCTATCTGAGCCGCCATCATCTGGTTAGGCATAGGCTGGCCCATATTCTGATTGCCCATGAGCATTTGACCCATATGTGAGTTTTGGGCCATCATGCCCGGGGGTGGACTGGCTTGGCTCATCCGGGGCGTGGGCATCGGTCGATTGATCGGGGTACCGTGCGGCATCTGTGGTGTCGCGCTCGGCATACGAGGCGTGTTCGAGGGATGACTTTGCTGACTGCCCCTTGAAGACATGCTAACGGCCATGGGTGCGGACATTGGCCCGTGGCTCTGCACAACAGAGGACGGCCTTTGAGGACTGGCACCCATACCGGAATTGGTCTGTTGCATCGGCACGTTTCCAACCATTGGGCTCGACATGTTCTGTGGCGTGTTCTGGCGAACGACCGGAGATGAGACAGGCGCTTGTGAGACCTGCTGCGGGAACCTGTGAGGAGCCTGAGCCGACATGACACCGTTGGCAAGCCCGTTTTGCACTGGGTGCCCGTGAGACGACTGCGGTATTTGGTTTATTTGCGCGTTCGGAGGCGATTGTGCGGCCTGTGCCTGCGCCTGTGCCTGCGCCTGTGCTTGAACTTGAGCTTGGGCCTGTTGGGCTTGGGCCTGCTGCTGCTGGGCTATAGCACGCCGCTGTGCTTCCTGTTGCTGCTGCTGTCGTATCTGCGCTTGCCGCTGAGCTTCTTCGCGGCGTGATTTTTCCTGTTCGGCTTGCTGCCGTTGTAGTAATGCGGCCTGTTCCTGCTTCTGGATTTGAAGCTTGCGCTCATTTTCTGCCTGTTGAATCTTCTCCTGCTCTTTCTTCGCCTTATGCGCACTCTTAATATCAGCAAGAACCTTGAATCTCTCAAAACGAGGCTCAAAAGTGGCTGCTCCGGATTGGCCGTCACCATCAGCACCATCAGCACCAGTCTGGGCACCGCCGGTATTAGCGGAGCGGCGTTCGTCGTATGTAAGCATATATTTCTCTTGCTCTGCAGCCAAGGCCTCGTCAGCGGCCCTCTCAGCTACAGTCCGTTTCCGAGCCTTTGGCTCAGGCGGAGGCTCCGAGTGTTTTGGATCAGCCATGCGCTTGAGCAGGAGCGCAACGGCATCTTCTCTATTTTTGGGCACTTCTAAGTTTAGCGGAGCCGAGGTCGCGAGTAGGATCTGTGCTTCAGCGGCGTATATATTGCTCCCGTCCAATTCCATCTTTTCTCGCTTCACTTTCTTGGCCGGCGGTGGCATGGTCGCTGCAGTTGGAGTTGGAGGCACAGTAGATATTGGAGTGGGTGGTATGCCATTAGAGTCCCCACCGGCCTTCGCATCGCCAGATCCACGTGGCGTACAGGCCTTGATCATCAAGTCCATGTGTAAACTTTGCGGGGTTGGATGAAGGACGACCGTAAAGATCTTAGTTTCCGCCTGGGCCTTAGCTTTCTGCCCATCAGTAGGAGCAGGTGGAGCCGGCATGTTCTCCTTATCGTTAGAGTCATTATGCGCGGGCTTTACGTCGCCTTCTTGGAGTCCGTTTTCGGCGCTGTCCTTGGGAAACGGGACGTAGGGAGAGGGCGTTATATAAGGGTTATAGTTATGAATCGAGGAGGGCTTCTCCGAGGTAGATTTGGAGGCTGGACGCGCAACATCCTTAGCCTGCGCGGCAGTCTTGTGATCATGTACTTGTACGATCAGGCAACCTTCGTAAAAAGCAACACCGGCTTCGTTGAGATCCTGTAACATGTCGTGTGGTACTGTTCGGCTTCTGACGTGATCTAGAAAGGCCCTCATCGGAGATTTGTACGGAAAAACGCTATCTTGCATATCGAATCGAAAATGATTAGGATGTAGATGTACGATCAGCGATGGGGGGTGTCCGGAATACTTCTTTAGAATATAGGCATCGGTAACAACTATAAGCAAGTCAGCATAATGTGCGAGTATTAAATACAACTATGGACGATTGTTATAGAGTACGCACCATCTGGACGCGGCTCGAACGATCTATGTAACGACGTGTCGGGAGCCAATGTAGCCGACCTCAGAGATGCATTATTCCTCTGATTACGTCCCTGAACCTGATTAGACGTATCGCGTCTCGAACGGGCTACGCCGGGTCGGTGGGCAGTCCCGTTAGTGCCGTTCGTTGCGGATGAGTTCGATATATGTTGTTGTTGTTGCTGCTGCTGTTTGGTCACGGCAGGTGGAGGGCGCTTAGCAGTCATATTTGGAGACGGGGAAGATTGTAACGAAGATACGCCATTTGTCTGGATACCAGGCGGCGGCGGACGTTTGATCTTGGGGGTCGGCGGTGGAGGGACAACGGCGGCGACGACTGGAGCCATGGTTGATGTAGAGCCCTGCGCACTACGAAGCGACCAAATGACGCTCAATCAGTAGCGGCTAGGGACTAAGAGTATGACTAAGTTCTCTTTTACTATGAACATTGATCGCGACGTAGTTTCGACGTGTAGGTTTCCTTAACAATTTAAGATGCGCGCGCGACGAGTAGGAAGATAATTGACAAAACGCCGCTCGTCTAACCAAATTATGGATTACATTGAACGATGCTCCAGCAATATGCGACGATGGATATACGGCGCATCCAGGAAGAATCCCGATAATACGAGGTCGAGATTGTTGCTGAATGCTTTGTGTGGGGTTGAACGTATGTTAGTGACGGAAAGAAGTTGGAACTTCGACTCTGGCATAAATCGCTAATTTGAATTGAGCCTCATCAGCCGCATTGATGATTTTGGGTGGTAGGTAAAAAGTACAAGTGGCTCCACCTCTTATCCTTCATGTGGCAGGTATTTTTCAGCCTCACGTGATTACATGTAGTGATACCACCTAAATCTACCCGATACCAGCATAAAACACAGACAATACATACATGTACCTATTACGCGATGCAATGTACTAAGTCTAGTAAAGTCCAGCAGCCCCAAAACATATTTATTACTTCCCAACTGAAGCGCAACCAACCCAAGGATATAGAAGCGGTAAATCATATATCTACCATGGCGTAACCTAGCGTCAATATTCCATCTAGAAATCGTAAAGAAAAATCACCAGTTCATGCATGCTGCTCGTGTCACCATTCGTAGAGTGATATCTTACAAGATATCATCACTCCTTACCTTGCACCCGCCGCGCCCAATCGTCACCAACCCTTAGACTATCCACCACTACCACTCCTCTTCCTCGTCCTACCCGTTCCTCCCGCTGCCACCATAGGTCATTCTTCTTTTCGGTCTCCTTCTCCGGTTTCTCGGCCTCCGAATCGCTATCTGCGAGCCCGCCATGACCATCGTCGGCTCCGACGACAAGAATAACGTCGTACTTAAGCCAGGTCTGCAATTGGGTAATTACACCTCCGTTGTCTCCGGCTAGAGATTCCTGGAGGTATATTACCTCGGGTTGTAGGTGACGAAGGATATGAACGTGGCCGTTAGGGGATGTAAACGGCAAGATCATCGCTTCCTTTTCTACCAAGGCCGAGGCCTGCGAATACACCAATTGGAAGGGCGTGTTAGCCGTATTAGAGCTTAAACTAGATCTTAAGTCAGTAAATCCATGCTGAGCGCTTAATCTTGGAGGTATCTACGCACGTTGGGCTTTTGTCCTCCTCCCCTGGGGTTTGACTCTGCTCATTCGCAATATTTGAGAATGATGAACTCAAAGATGCCGGAGGAAGGTTACTGGCCGACGCTTCAAGGGCGGAATCCTTGAGGCCGGGTGCATAGATCAAGACAAACAGCTTGATTTTAGAAAAATCAATATTGCGAGGTATATGGGAGAGGATAGACTAGAAGCAAGTTAGCAACTAAGTACGCAGATACTAAAATAAGGCGGTATCATACAGCATGCTCGTGGAAGCCTTCCGCATCAAGATCATTTGTATTCGTATTTGCCGAGACCACGATCGCGACCGTTTTCCGGCGCCTAGTCGAGTCTCTAGGCTGAGGCGGGGCCGGCTTTTCCTTACGAGCTTCGGCTTCCTCCGACCAAGTCTCGTGGTCGGCATATGCGTCCTTATCATCATCTCGAATAGCAGCCAAGGCGCTACCAACGGCCGCGCCAACTCCCGCCACTCCTGCTGCAACGGTCTTGCTTGCGCTGGAAAAGAAACGATGCGGGCTTGGTGTACGTCGCGAGCCCCATCCGGCAGAAACGCCGCTTGCCTCTGGATGTATTTCTCCCGCGCCGTGGCCTACATCATCAGGCCGAATAGAAGGACGCGACGTCGCGCCGTACGGGGGGTTCTCGCCATAATCGGCATTTTCGTAGTCGAGATCGGCCGGCTCAACATCGCTCTCCTCGTCTTCGCGTTCGTTACTCCGTTGGCTCCATGCCCAAGCAGCGACACCGACGGTCGCGACGGTAAGGGTAACGACAATAGGAACCCAGTGGCCCCAGACACCCCTCCGGCGGGATCTCGAAGAATCGTACGACGACGACATTTATTCAAATAAGATCATCGCAAGATCGTGGCCGGCATACCACGCGCGAAGCGGTGGAGTAAGCAAAGGTATAATACGAATCACGACGCAAGAAATCTAGACGCGATCCGAGAAACCTTGGTCGCAGTTACGTAGATCACCTATAAGCAAAATACCAAAGTAAGTTCGATAACGGATGATTTGAATGGAAGTGAGAAAAGGTTAAGGTTGGAAGTGTTGCGGAATACAGCCCTCGAAAAATAGCGGGCTGGGGAAGCAGTAACACCTAACCTAATAGGAACGAACAGAGGACGAACAGGGGTTGGGGCTACGTGTAAGAGCGCCTTCTGGAACAACAACAGGTAAAAGCAGCGGTGGCAACGATAGTAGGTGGTGAACAACCTCCCAGTTGGTGCAAGTAGTATATAGGTACCTAAGGTAGGCAGCTTATAGATATTTCGTAGCAGGAGAAAATACGGTCAACTCTTGCAACTCTTCGATGTTACAATTCTTTAAAGCAAAACTGCCCGATTACCAAGTGGACTGAGCTGCTGAGGTGGCTGGTCGTAGCTTTCTCTGAGCTGCTGACCCCCTGCAAGAAATCCATTGGTACTCCGGGGCACGGCTAAGCTTGCTGTTTTGATTGGTTGGAGGGGAAACGCCTCACCTGGAGCTTCCATAAATGGTTCTGAATGGACTGCGGCATAATTGGACACAGACCGATAAATGCGGATAGTGAGTCTTACGCTACTATCGGTAAGGTACTTAGATACATGCCACATGCCACATGCCACATGCAGATAAGAGCTATCGCTATGTATTTTCAATATTGATAGCATTGATAAGTCAATAATATATCGTGAGTGACTCAAAGTTCCAATCATTGATGAGAAGCACATATTCTCTATCACTCTTCATCGAAATCTAATCAACCTCTCTTCTTCCGAGCTCTACCAACGTAAATTAAGACACGTGAAATATGAAATTATTGAGATTATTTACAAGACTAACACTTTATTAGACTACCACATCTCATCCGAGGTCCTTGGTTCTCATCAACCCCTCCAACAGGCCTCGGTCTCGGCTGGGCTGCTCGAAATGCCCCACGCCGTCTCTATGCCTGCCACGGGCCTTCAGGCCCTCATCCTTTGCGGCCCGGGGTCCTCATTTCCGACCTTTACGTCAAATCCGGATGAGAACCCCAAAGCCTTATTACCCATTGCCAATAGGCCTATGGTCTGGTACCCCATTGATTTCTGCTATCGCACGGGAATCACAAGTAAGCATCTTCATGTTAAATGTTTCATATATTCTCACATTACCGCGACGATAGTTGCTCTGTCATAACCATTAACTAACACGGCTCAGGCATTACTCTTGTTTGCCCCCCTTCTGCCGCCGACGCTATTACCACGGCGCTGAACACAAATCCCTTCCTCACGGGTTTACCTCACCCGCGCCCGGACCTTGTAGCACCCAGTGGGCTTGACCAGAACACAGGCACCGCAGAGATACTGCGACTCCCTGAGATTCGAGAGCTCATTACCTCCGACTTCGTCGTCTTGCCATGTGATTTGGTATGTGAACTGGGCGGCGATAAGCTTTTGCAAGCATGGATGGTCAAAGCAGCAAGTCTTCCGGATCTCCTTAGCGACGGTGAGCCGCCGTACTGCAATGGCGGTTTAGGCGTATGGTACGAAACGAAGACGGCCAACCCTATCAAAGGCGAAGAAACAGATTTCATCGTAACAGCACCGATAACCACACCCACGGTGCCTACATCCAAGGATTCATTACTGCCGCATCTCTCGTACTTGACCTACGCTATGCCCAAAGATTCTCTGAACGATCTCGTGGATCAGAAGAAGAGCTTTCCGATACGCCATGGATTATTGCGCAGCCATCCCAAAATCAGAATGCTAACCACGCATAGGGACGCGCACATTTATATTTTACCCAAATGGATTTTAGACTTCATTGGACAAAACGAGCGGCTAGAGACACTTGGCGAAGACGTCATCGGCTGGTGGGCAAAAACAAATTGGGAGACAGGGCTATTCGGGAAGCTAGGGATGAAAAAGGTCATCGAGGGCCACACCGAGGAGCCGGACGTAGATAGGTCGCCACGTGGTAATAAGTCCGCGGCAGACGCCAGCCTTATCGATTCCCCGTGGAGAGCACGCGAATCCCATGAGACGTCTCCTCATACAGACTTCCGGAACAGACAGCATGACGGACTACTAGCCAAGCCGAAGGATCCTGTCGTTCCCCCAATTCTAGCGTATATCCACCCTGCTCACGCCGATGCCCCACTGCTCCGTCGGGTAGATACAGCACAGCTTCTCCTTGCCGTATCACTGCAGCTGGCAAAACTTCCTTCCGTCGAGGAAACCGGCCCCGAGGCGGCATCGGCATTTGCCCATTCAAGAAAGGTTGCATACCCTGAGGGTGTCAAGCCGCGGACGACCATAACCAGGCAGGATTGCTTGATTGCCGACAATGTAATGGTGGAAGAAAAGACGTCGATCAAAGAGAGCGTCATTGGAGCAAACTGTCAGATTAAGGAGGGTGCCAAGTTGTTCCAATGTCTGCTTATGGACGGTGTGGTAGTGGGTAAAGGCTGCAAACTGACTCGTTGCATCCTAGGTAAGAGAAGCGAGGTTGGGGAGGGTTCGACACTCACGGATTGTGAGGTGCAAGAGAACTTGTTGGTAGAGCCCAAAAGTATGTTTCAGTCCTTCCAATCCCGCTTTCCGCCCTCTATCCGCCGCAAGGCGGTGTAATATTATTAACTAACATAATCACAGCTGAGGATAAGGATAGCAAACTCATGAGCTCCTCTGGGATGGAAGCCAGTGAGCAGGAGATGCAGGAGGCGCTGGACGGCATTGATGACAGTGACAGGGATAGCGCCATGTTAGGATAGGCAATAAGAAATAACCGCGATCCAGGCTACCGGTAGCCAATACGACGGGCAATGAAATGTGCAGGAATATCCTGGATACATAAGCTCCAGCTTACCATCACTCCATCTAGCCAATCACGGTCAGTTGGTATGTGCCATAAGGAAATCTGTCACAACTATTTTCCTAATAAAGGTTGTGATGAGGCATTAGGTATGTCCGCTAGCCTTAATATGTTGGTGTAGTAAGAAAATGAACGAAGCTTTCCTTAAAAAAAGATATTACAGGTTTGTCATAACTTGGGGCTTGTTGGAGTTGGTTTTGCCTGGATCCCCGTGGATGGTCGCAAAATTTCAACTCGGCGTTCACATGCTGGGTCGAAATTTGAGTTGTCATATTCAGGTTTGCCTATATCGTTCTTTCTCGACCCCAAACTAAGCGGTCATGCGATGGTACCCTGACGAGAACCTCTAAGCCTTTCTCAGCTTTGATAAAAATAAGTGATTCTCAGATCTCACTTAGAACACTTTACGAGGCTACCGTCAAAACTACTTATTCGTTGGGGTTGGCTAGCATGAGGGTTACACGAGGGGGGCATTATGCCTACGATGCTGCGCTGTTGTCGGCGTAATACTGATCGAGATGCAAGTTATTCCAAGACGATATCGTGCTGCTGCGCTCTAGCGATATAGCACCGTCGGCAGATATGTCGTACGACGTCGTATAAAATGAAGTAGTAGGTTATCTCGGAATCCAACAGGATCTTGCTTCACCATGCCTGTGCAACGAAGCACTGCAGACAACCCCTACGTAACTATAAGACGGTCTTCCGACGACGTCTCTTAACGATTACGGTAAATAGAGCTAAGAGCGCTTAAACTTACAAGTATCTTTTGAGGCGGACAGATAACGCCGCAAACCTCTGCCACTGACGCTTGAGTAGCAAACATACTAATTCCTCTTCGGGAAGAATTTAAGCGTAACCTCCTCATTGCGGCATCCGACTTACATCCATTCAGCTGGCGTGCTATCTCTAAGCTTTTGACGGGAAGGAAAAAGAAAGGTTCACTCGCCGATCACAGTGGATCCTCAACACTGGCTGAATGATGTACTATTTCTCTCGAAGCTTGGCATTCAAGTGCTTAAGACCTGTCATAAATCATCCTGGAGTAACAAGTTTCCGTGGACGGCCGAAGCCATACAGAAAGAAGCATAGGCGCCGCAATGCAAGATCCGGTAGGTCATATATCAGCTGCCATATGTACACAGTCTGGGAATTCCGTATTGATTCTGCATCACGAAACTCCGGGGGTAATTACATAGCTGCATATGATGGGCTGTCTTCCATATTAAGGGTTACTGGAGACGGTTAGCTACCAAAACATATTGCATATGCACGAGAGATTGTAAATTTACTAAATTTGCCCCTAGATAGACTGATATTGGCAGTCTACATATAGCAGCATCTGTTCTTCAGTAGGCTACAGAATGCATTACCGCCACCTTGCGGATATAAACCAGTAGCACTACTACTATCGATCGTTCAAATACCGTATATCCCAGGTTTACATATATATGACCTGTCAACTGAACTAATTAAATTCTAACCAGTAACACTTCCTCTTATAATCTTCAGCAGAGGTTCCGAAGCCCCGTCGATTACCTTGGGTTGAATCGCCGGTTGAAAAATCGGGATACATAATAGATGTATAAAAGTATCTTATAAATTCATCTACGTAGGTACCTAAGGTAAGCTATCTAACGAAAGCCCCAGGAATTAATAATCGTCGAGACATTAGCATTTTCAAGCACTTCGGGTTTGACTTTGACAGAGTGTCAACAAATAGGGCATGTTGGTAGATTAGTAGCCTCTAAACGTAGATGCGGTATATTCAGAGTATTATTTTACGTAAAACACGAATAATATTAACCCAATAGAGATGATAACCCTCTATTATAGCATTAAACATACAACTATATCTTGATGTGGTCTGAGTCTCCTCGATTTCTCTTTAATGGCGTGTAAGTGAACGACTATCATCCAAACACCACAAGAATGTCCGTAGGAAGCCGAATTCATAACGATAGGTAGGCACCGAACTATACCATCTATACGTTAGGCCAAAACTGAAGTAGGTAACTATTCATTAAGGCTGTTAGGAAATACTAACCAGAAACTCTTCAGCGTCCCCATTCTCTCGGGTGGAGTGGGCATTGCCCTTCGCTCCCAGATGCCCGGCTTTCTTGAATTACAAAACCTCCATCTTTAGAATCCACATTCCTTTTCCGGTTTCCACAGTTCGGGTACCGGTCACACTTCACTTCTTCTTCCTTCAATACACAATTATTACCGCAGTTGAAATACTCAATAATTAATGCACACATGGTGCCTTAACAAAGCCTTCGGCTTGTGTTGGGTCTTCGTAGGCAAGGGATGGCCAGTGATTGTGAGAAAGTGTAAGAGGTGCCGTAAGTCGCTTTGGCTTTCAAGGGGATATAGATTCGAATTATGATTTGATATCCAGGAGGCAGATAGGTCACGCTACCTAGGTAAGCTATTGTAGATAGAGGTAGAGACAGATATTCGAAATTTGTCCTCTTGGTAGTCTACTATGAGCTGGTTATCGACTTATATACTCACCTAAACACCATCCTTGGATTCCTGATT